TATATATTTAATTTCATTTTCTGATTTCATTTCTCGGATATTAAATTACTGGTGGCGTGGATGCAAATGCGCGCTTGAACATATGCCGATATGTTTTATTTGCTTATCCTTCCTGATTATTCTACCTCCCATCCTCTCCTCCATACTAAACTGACATACAGATAAGAATACGGGTGTGGATTTGGATCAATTGGCCGTTGTAACGCGTGGGTATGTGGGCGCTGATATCGCCGCGCTATGTCGAGAGGCTGCCTTCAGCGCACTACGGAAGCAGGCCATAGGTGTGTGTCTAACAAACTCAGACACATGTCTGTGTTTGTAGGTATCATTGCAGTTGTTTGTCTGTTAGAATCTATATCTGTATACGTACGTATTGCCACTTTTACTCTGTGGTTGTGTGGACTCTGATCCCGTGGGGCTGTGTCGTCGAAAGGCTACCCTCAACCTACTGCGAAAGCTGGGCATAGGCACGCCTATAATTTGGGTTATAAAACCCTAAAACCATAATTGCATATGCTCATGGATATGTTTGTATATCAAGCAGCGCATGCTTGTACATGTGAGGGGTATGCGTATGGACCCAGGCATGGAGTTTGTATGAGAATATACAGGTTTATATGATGTTTGTATGTTGTCTTTTAACGTGCTTCTTATATTTTTGATGTGTGCGTATGTGTATGAATCGAGTTAATGGTTCATACGCCTCAGCAAGTCTTCGGATGTACGCATGTGAATTGTACACTACCTACTCTACTTGCTCTCATTGTATATACATATCGGCTTTATATTTATATACAAATATTGCCTCTATATAAGTATACGAATATCGCCTCGATATATGAATTTTGAATATTGTCTTTAGATGTGTAAATAAATATTATCTTTAAATATATGTATATAAATGTGGCCACTAAATATGTATATAAACATTGCCTTTAAATATGTATACGAATATTGCCTCTATATACGTCTGTAAATATCGCCTTTATATGTTTGTAAATATTGCCTCTATGTATCATATAGTTGTTGGAATTGCCTCTATATATCATATAAATGTTACCTTTAAATATAATATATATATACTTACATATAAATATTGCCTCTATACATGTATATAAATATTGCTTCTCTATACGTATATAAATATCGCCTGAATGTACGTTATACTATGACCTCTACATATGCATATGAATATTATCTAGAAATAGTATATAAATGTAACCTGATTTAGGGATGAGAATTCGTAACTATACCCACCTTATAGACTACACACAGCACAAGTAAGTTCGAAAACGTTTCCACAGACTCAATTAAATTAAAGAGGTTACAATTGAGGATTTAGGGGGCTCGCATTAAACCCAGCCCTTGATTGTGCATAGCACAACTAAGCAAGTATTCTACCTACTTGTAGGGTTTTGTAAGGTTGGGTGTGTAGAGTTTAGGGTTTTTAATTAAACACACCCCATTGATTATGCACACGCACAAATAAGGTCTAAAGGTATGCTGCAGGCTTCACTCATCGAACACTTGCACCACGCACCATCCAAACCCAAGAAAACCCAAGAGAGCCTCATATGGACAGCGGACGTCCCTGGTTCCTTTAATTTTGACCAATGAAAAACAGAGTCTGTTTAAATTTGACCAGTGAAAAAACAAAGTCGCAGTAGTTGTATCGTTGTCACAGAACAGTTCGGTACATAGATGTTTTACGACTTAGATGTGGGCCACCGCAACCACATACCTACAGAGTGAAGCCCTGCTATCTGGTGACCCAGAAGAGGCAGAGCCAGCATATGATAAAGAGGTGCATCCAGCAACCTACGACAATTCACACTCTGATTAGGATACTATTGTTCACACTGTTTACGATACTTTTATTTACGCTCTGTTTCTCTGTTTAGGATTTATTTCAATATTTGGGACAAATTACTATGTCTATATATATGCGCATCAGGCTTCCTATTCGGAATGAGGATGTGATTAGCCACAAATGTCTCTTTGTTCCTCGAATTCGTGTGGATGTCTACGCACCTCTCATTGCATATTCGGGAAAGTTTTTGCCTATTGGGTGTAAATCACAAATGGAAACGGAGCTGTGTGATGTTTTTTTTTGAAATTTCAGCGGCCAATGAAGAGATCGGAATAGCCGCAGGTGCCGCTGTCGTCCAATCGGATGACTTCGATATCGCGCTCTCTCGGGTGAGCCCGTCGACTGCGCGCGAGAGTGTGATTGTGGGACTGGAAACCAAGAGTTGGGACAGTATAGGGGGGGTGGATGATATTAAGCACAGAATGAAGGTATTGTATGTTGTATGTAGTATGTGCATGGATGGGTTGTATCATATTACAGCAAGCGATCGTATACGTTGACAACAGATACCCTGAGATTGTAGGTAAAGTTGTATTAGAAAGAAGGAGGTGTAAGGCGAGTAGCTTGGAGCTGCGGGGCTGGGACATAAAAAAAACCCTGCAACCCTAAAACTTAAAAAATTTGCTCGTGCGTGTATTAGGGCCTTAAATATAACTTGCACGTGCTTTTAGGGTTTTATAGATATAGCACACATGATCGGGCGCACCACTAGCGAAGCTATGGCAAGTGATATACTCATTCTGTATTGAGGACAATACCTATTTATCACTAGAGAAGCTATGGCGAGTGATATACTCATTCTGTATTGAGGACAATACTTATTTATCACTAGAGAATCTATGGCGAGTGGTATACTCATTCTGTATTAAGGACAATACTTATTTATCACTAGAGAAGCTATGGCGAGTGATATACTCATTCTGTATTTGAGGACAATACTTATTTATCACCAGAGAAGCTATGGCGAGTGTCATACTCATTCTGTATTGAGGACAAAACTTATTTATCACTAGAGAAGCTATGGCGAGTGATATACTCATTCTGTATTGAGGAGAATACTTATTTATCACTCGAAAAGCTATGGCGAGTGAGATACTCATTCTGTAT